GTGATAATTGTATTCAGCCTGGTAATCATAGAATGTTTTAGATAAATGAATAGTCAAAATCACTACCTCATTGGTACTAACAATTTTATAGCACGGTATGAATTGGGATGGAGTATTAAGTGGGAACAGGAACATGGAGTGGTTTTTTTGTTTGTTTGTTCTTTCTCCAGTGTGACCTTTTTTGTTTACAATTAGTCAAATCACTCTTTTTTGTTTCTTTTACTCATCTCAAGATGATGTTATAGATTTCTGGACACTCCAGTTTAATCTGAGTTTAATGCAGTAAAGTCCATTTAACTTGAATTTTCATCTCATAGCCAACTTTAAACTCAATTTCTCTTCTTTTAGTCAGTGTGACTTGGACTTTTCTAGGAGATTATAGAGTGTTGGAAGAGATTGAAGCCTAGTCATTCTCTTTGCTCAATCCAATGAGTGGAGAATGATCTGTTTTTCACTCATACACCTGTTTCTTATTCTGTGTGTTGATGAAGTAAGGGGAAAGGTAGAAAGAGAAACGGCTTTCTAAAGTAAGTAGTAGCTTTTGTTCCCTCTTTTTCGGTGTCTGCTCCACTCCCTCACACTGACTGTACCTTTCTTCTTCCTCCCTCCCTCTCCCTCCCTCCCTCCATCCCTCCTTTCTTTCTCTCCCTCCTTCCCTCCCTCCTTCCCTCCTTCCTTCCTTCCTTCCTTTTTTGAGACAGAGTCTCACTCCGTTACCCAGGCTGGAGTGCAGTGGTATGATCTTGGCTCAGTGAAGCCTCTGCCTCCCAGGTTCAAGCAATTCACCTGCCTCAGCCTCCCGAGAAGCTGGAATTACAGTTGCATACCACCATGCCCAGCCAGTTACTTGTATTTGTAATAGAAAAGAAGATTTACCATGTAGGCCAGGCTGGTCTTGAACCCTGGCCTCAAGTGATCTGCCCACCTCAGCCCTGCAAAGTGCTGGGATTACAGGTTTGAGCAACCAGGGCTGGCCTAGTCCTCCTCCTATGAGGATAGGGAGATTACTAGCTCTCTGATGAAGCACATGTAAAAAACTTTGGTGGGGGGTGTGGCAGTTGTTTTTGGAATGTCATAGCAACCATTTCTGGATTGTCTTTTTCTGCTCTTTCTCAGTTTTTACCTCTCTAGTATATTCACGACCTCTGGCTGCTTGTGTCTCCATCAACTGGGGGCTCAAGTTCAGCTACTTTCACACTCACTACACTCTTTGCTTTTGCAGAGAGGGAATCCCAATTATCTGTACCCTGTCTTCCGACTCCATGTCTTTTCTGTGTCTCTTCAAATGGGCACAGAGAAGGGAAATGGGCATGGGATAATATGCAAGTCTAACACACAAGCAGAGGTCCAACTGAGAGGTGAGATACCAGTCTTCCCTTCTTGCTAATCTTTTAGATGAACTCTTCCCTGATTTGGACTCTCAGCAACAGCACTGTTCAGCTACATTAAGTCAGTGAAGCAAAGTCTGATGATTGCCTCATGATGGAGGCAGGAGAAGGCACTTCTGGGATAAGAAGGAACTGAGGAAGGTAAAGATATTTAAGTTGTGGAGGTAGAGTTGGCTCTCACTTGTTTAAGTCTGTCTTCCAAATATAAAATACTTGATAGATGCCTTTGTTGTTAGTCTTGGGTTCTAATTGCCAGCCCCTGGGCAATGGGGAAAGTGCCACCTGATATCTAATTATGTACATTTTACCAGTTTTGCCTAGTAGTTTTATTCTTCCTAGCTACAGTGAAGTTCGTTTTGCCACAGCTCTACCTCAGTCAAATACTGTAGCGTCTTTCTAAAACAGTAAAAACAAAAACAAACCTGAAGTCCTTATTATGGCTTAGAAGGCCCAATATGATCTGACTGCAGGTTCGATTTTTGATCACATATTCCTGCCTCAAGGCTTGCTCTTAATCTACCATCTGCTATCTATCTGTATACAGTATGCTAAAACCCCAGATAGTACACTTACTTCATTTCATTCTTCTTTTAAATGCTGCCTCCTTAGTGTTCTCTGAATACACTTAAAATAGTGTTATTTGTTTTATTCCCATCACTTGCTTTATTTTTTGTTTATACACTAATTTTTATACATTAAATTTTATATTTAATAGTTTATCACTTCTATTAACATGATTTTCAAGAGGGAAGGTCATTGACTTCTTTATTCAGCACTTTACTCAGTGCCTAACATAGTCCTGACCCATAAGAAACAATGAATTTTTGGTGTTGATTGAATTAATGAATTCTAGTTATTAGATTTGATCTTTAGATAATATATTTGACTTATCCTACAATTTTTACTCTTCCAGTGTTTTACATAGTATAATTTTAATTTTTATTACTTTTATTATTTCTAATTGTATATTCCCATTATTATCACCGCAGTAGAATCGTCCATAACTCTAATTTATTTTCTATGCTGTTAGAATTATTTTTTATAAAATACTTACCTAAATGCCACTCTTGGGGTGAAACATTTGAAAATTCCTTAACATAATTTGTTCTGTACCTGTTGTCCTTCTCTTCATGGTTCTTACATGAACTCTATTCCACTCATATCCTTTTCATTACAGTACTCAATGCTAAACTATGCTTCTCTTTACTTCTTTGCCTTTTTGCATAAAACCTGCAGCTGTGTATTTTTTTACTGTGTGAATACATAAAATGTAACTTCTATGAGAAGAATAGAAAACATTCTTTACATTTGAAGTAGTTAGGAACCACTTGTATAGTTGTCGTATGCTGTCATTTTATATGTATTAGCAAGCCTTTTTCCTCACTGAGTATCTTTAGGTTTTGTTAAGAATTCACTTGTCATTTTTTAAATGAGTATTTAAGTCACCACAATCTTGGAGGGTTTTGTCATATTGTTTGTAATATTGTGAGTTATTTTAAAGGTGAGAATAATCTTTTTCTTTTTGAAGGATATGTATGTATGAATGGTTATTGTATCTTTATATCTCCAGAAAAATACCTGGAAGGAGTAGAGAAAATGATTTTTAAAAATAAAAGTATTATGTGCATTACTTTTTTAAAAATTGTGATCCCTTGTTAGAGTCTTCAAATTTAGATGTTTTGTTTGTATACTATTAAATAAATAAAAGACTGATAAATGAAATGACATTATTTACATAAAAAAATTAAAGCCAAATATTTACTATATCTGACTCTATTCCAAGTAAGTACAGTGTGTGAGAAGGGACCAGTATGGCTTTTTGAGAAATGCAGACTCCAGAGGTATGTAGCAGAATTCTAAAACTTGTACTTAACATTTTCATTTTGAAAATAATACAGAAATAGTTTGTGATACTGATCTATTTTAGAAGGCATGGCTAAATAAAAATTAATATTATGAAATTATGAAACAGTAAACAAAGGTGGAATCCCATAGTTATTTGAGGAGCTCTTTTGAGCTATTATTACTATTACTGACAATAATAGGCCAGGTGTTATATCATGTGTCTGGTATGCATTATTTCATCCTGTAGTTGGAATATCCCTTCAAGTTGCTATTACTCATTTTACATGAGAAGAAAGAATACTCATTTACACATTTAATTTAGAAGGATTAGTTCTGCTTGTTCAGTTGGATTTCTTCAGTGTAATTTATCAAAGTTTCTTAAACTGCATGAGAAGTCAGAGCCCTTTAAAAACCTAACAAAATCTTACAGCCCATTTCCCCTGAAACATGTGAGTATGGAATGCATGTATTTTTATTTTAGTGTACAATTTCCTAGAATTCCTAGATTCCTTTGATATGTGAACACGAAATTGGGAATCTCTGTTCTATGTCTTTTTAAATAAAGAGCCATGTCTTGTCACTTAAGGAAAGTAATATATATTTACACTATGCTGTATTCTAGAAAAAATTTAAGAAAGCTGAAAGGAAGTTGTCAGCTCTCTCTAACTCTACTTAGTATATGCCAAAGTAAATAAATTCTGTGTAATTAGAAAGTGAGATTCAGAAAAGTTTGACTTATGGTATGTTTTTATTGGTCAGGTTTGTTGGACTTTGTCACAAAGCACCGTCAGTCTGTTTCAGAAAGAAATCTACGTGTAAATATTTTTAATAATGTAAAGTTACCTCTTCAGAGTAGTATATACGTAGTAGCTCTGCCTAGAGCTAGGAGATTGACTAGTACCTTACAGCCTTGTGATTTAGTGATATTTCTCAGAGAATAATTATTGAATTTGATTTTCTGATTCCATCAAAGATAAATTATATAGACAGGTTGGTGTAGTAAAAGCAGAAAGTGGTAATAATTTTCTGTACTAATGAACTAAAGTGATCATAAACTTGGTTGACTCATTGTTTATATGGGCTAAGGATGAAGACTGTATTTGGAATCTAACTGAATTTCATTTTGGAGGGAAAAAGTTGTCTTTTCATAAAACATCAGTAGTTGTTGAGGACTAATTATTTTATAAAGTTGTTTTTTAACTATAATGTAGTTTGGAATTTCAGAATGGCTTTCTAAAAAATTCTTTTTAGATATTTTTATGGTGCTTGTGCTTCAGTTTTGATATCTTACCTATTTTGCTTTTTTCCCCCTTGAATTTTCATCTGAACCAAAAACATCAGCTGAGCAGAATAAACAATCTTGTTGTATCATATGTGTGCCTTGTTTTAGGTATATTACTGTAGAAATAATGTTATAAATCAATATAAGTATTTAGGTTTTATTTTTTAACATATACGTTCTAACATTTGGTTTATAGTTATGTTGTGAATTGAGTAACTGTATTTCTACCTTTCCTGCAGTCATTCTTAGCATTCAATTTTTAAATGAATGATAGCACATTTGTGTAGGTCTCTTGTGACTGAGTGATGTATTCTGTTTTGCTGTGGCAAAGTTTTCAGACAGCCACTTTTGTTCTTATATATTTTCATTTTCTATAGTACTTTTCATCCCTGTATATATGTACAGGAGTCACTTCACCCACCACCGAATTGCAGCCACTTCTGAGGTGGAACGCAGCAACTGTTTAACAGCGCACTTTCCCCTAGGTGCTGACAGCTGCAGAAGAAATTGTACATGGTGCTGTACAGAAGGTATTTCTCCACTGTGCCATCTGCAGAGTGAAACTGACTAGGAGTACTACATAGACTGTAAGTTTCTTGTGTACCTGCCCTAGACTGGAAAACCCAATAAGGGAAAATAACAAATAACTGGGAAGCATCATCTAAAAATGTATTGAGGTCAGTTAAACTTAGTGCCGCTCTCCCTGGCTCTAAATTTTATTTTAAGGTCATCTGATTGGTACCAAATTAAATAACAAATAGATGGATGCACTCCTTTTTATTCTAAAAGCAAATAAAACTAAAATGCTTCTGTCAATATTCTTCACTTTGAATGGAACTTAATCATTCTGTTTTAAAATATTTTAAAATAACCAAATGAATATTATAAGATTTCAGAGCCATGCTCTTAAAATAGCAAACTTGTGATTCAACAGGAACATGTTAACTAGCTTTGCTTCCAGTGTTTTATGTCTTGGTTTTAATACTTTCTTTTGTAGTTTTGCAGCAAAGCCAGTTTATGATAACCTAGTTTTGATTCTTTGGATTATAAACATTTATTTTTGATTTCTTTTTTATTTTTAATTTTTTTGAGATGAGGTCTTGCTTTGTCACCCAGGCTGGAGTAAAGTTGTGTGATCATAGCTCACTGCAGCCTCAACCTCCTGGCCTTACACCTGTGCTAACCACACCTGGCTAATTTTTTTTTTTCCTTTTTTTTTCAGTTTCTGTAGATAATAGGGTCTCACTGTTTGAGACCAGCCTAGTCTAGAACTCCTGGCTTCAAGTGATTCTCCTGCCTTGGCCTCCTGAAGTGTTGGGATTATAGGTGTGAGCCTCTGTGCTCTGCCCAATTTCTTTCTTTTTTCTTTTTTCTTTTTTTTTTTTAACATTTGGGTGAAAAGCTGTGGAGAGAAGAAACAGTAAATATTTGAACTTCCACTTAATTCAGTTTTAGTCTCTCCCATTTAATTATTTAAAGAGGTTTTCTTATGTAAAAGCACTTTCGTAAGAGTGCTATCTTTGTAATGGTTTGGCATGTTTATACCTTATAAAATAGAAAAAATATCATTAGAAACAACTGTTTCTGTTGTTACACAATATGATACAGATTGTTATATTTTATTATTTTAGTGGTTTTTTTAGACAAAAGTATGACTTATTGTTTATCTCTTTTTTTGCTATATATATAGACATTTCTATGTAAATAAATTAGAATCTTAGACTTCAGAGTCTTAATCATATTAAATACAGTATCATTTGGTTTAGGTAACTTTAAATTATGTGTCCTAAGTTAAACGACATTTGTGCACATATCTATGTTTATAGATTCTCCAAGCAGATAAAAGATAACTTCCTTCTGCAGTTTGTTTACTTGTAATATGAGGTGGGTAGAAAAAATGATTTTCTAGGGACATTTTAACTGTTTTCTGTTTAATTCAGGGTTAGTAGTGTTTGTATTTAGAATTGTACCTTACATCATATTACCTAGATAATTTGGGCTCAAGTAACTTTGTTCTAATTAGAATATTATTTGTGTTAATTAAATGCTGAGTGATATGTTTTAGAATCAATAGACAAAGTTGGATTTCCTACAAAGATTTTCAGTTCTCTATGTAATTTTGTAGTGTAGAGAACTCCACTATTTTGAAATATGATTTTTGGACAATGCAGCACAATTATTATCTTCTTCATCATGGAAGCATAAAGTGGATAAGAATAAAAGAGTTACTTACATTGAGTGGAAATTTAGTTAAAGATTACCAAAAACTCATATTTTAATGAGGCTTACCCCCTTTATTTGCATAGATTTAGCATTTCATTTAATAGTCAAAGCACCAAAGAAGTAAATATCAATACTTAAAAATTTACAGTTTACACATAGTGTACTTATGTATCTCTAGCCAAGAGAGTATATGAAATATTTGAATTGCTATAATTGATTCTTTGGCACTTTCTACAATGTAATTGTAAGTATTCCTTAATCCCATTCATTTTATTTACTGAAGTCATCATTATTTGACAGAATAGATTATATGTTTCATATACTAAGTTTTTATTGAAAGGCACAAACTGTATCTGTTTTGTATGTCCTACTATATGTTTTTAAATTATACAAGTTGTTATATTTTAGACTTTATGTGGATGATAAAAGTTTGATAACTTATTTGATTCAACATTTAGATATATGACTCTTGTATTTTATTATACCCATAGTGTGTGGGATTTGAACAGGAATCAGATGGAAATTTTTATTGAATATACTTCTGTATTATTTGAATATAATGAAAATATACTCCTTGTGTAATCAAAAATAAACTGTTGGTGTTTCAGTTGAATTATGTATTTGAAACATTTGTTTAGTTTATTTAGAGATTATCCCCATTTCACAAAATAGATAACTCTTATCTCTACTGGTGATTTTTAAAGGGCCTTCATCATACTGTGAAAGCCCAGAATTGTGGGCCAGATTATTACTTAATTAGTACTCACTTACTAATTTTGAAAATCAGAAATAAATTATAGGTTATGAATAATTAAACTTTAATTATTTGTTTTTTATCCTCTCTCATTATAATTTTCTATTTGTAATAGGAAAAATGAAGCAAATGCACAAATTATTATGAATTTTAAGTGCTTATGTATGAATGATATATACTTAGACCTCATGTGATAATGTCCTGGCAATATCTAGCTTTCCATTAGAGGCTTTAAGAAGAGTTACTAGAACCAGCTGAAGAAATAGTAAAATTGGTGAGAAAATAGGAAACTGTATGGCAATATATTTTTCATTGCATAATTTATTCAATTTAAACGAATTTTAAAGAACATACATTTTAAAATAGAATTTTAGTCTATAATTTTAAATCTCAGATGTTCTCAGTTTTACAAAATACTCTTTTAAATTAGGTACATATTTTTACATCCATCTCAAATAGATTACTTTTTAAATTTATTTTTCTTATCAGATTTATCTGAACAAATTTTATTTATTAGAGAGATGAAACATCTTCAAATATTTTACTGTAAGTAATAGGGAAGTGATTTTTCAATGTAGGATTAGGTGGACAATTCTTTTTATTCTAAGTGGTCAATATTTGAGTTAATTCATTTGATAATCAAGCTTTAGTATTTTATACATCATTTCTTATTATCCAAAATATAATTTATATTCATACATTAATATGTGCAATTTGAATTTAAATGTTTTAGAATTAAAAATGAAATGTATTTTTTTCTAAATAGTTTCAAGATTAATGAAGATATAGTATTCATATCTTTGTTTTTCTCATTTTATATATCAAATGATTTCTGCTTATTTTTATAAATTTTGCGGCTATTTTTCAATATAAACTGAATTCATTGAAAATTTTAAATGTATAAGTTTGCATAAAAGACTACTGATGCCAGAAACCTTATTATCTTTAATACTGAATTAACAAGCATTTATTACATTAAAACTTCTCTATAATTCTGAAATTACTATATGTCTCGTGGGTAAATGTGTGTGTGTATATATGTGTATATCATCCTTCTCATGTATTCTTTGAAGTGTGGTATTGAATCCTGACTGGCACTTTTTGGCTATTAATCAAGTGTACATTGCTTAACAAATTTAAGGTTGTTTTTTAAATCTGTTAATTGGGAATCATTTCACCTACCTCACAGGGTTGTTGTGAGGAAAAAAACAATAAAACGTATGTGAAAGAGTGCTTAGCATATATACTAGTTGTACAGTGTATTAAAAATGAGTGCTACCAAACCATCAGTGGCCCCCATTCTGTCGGGGGCCATTTTATCTCAGGATAAAATCCAAATTCTGTGTCATGGTGTGTGTTCTGGCTCTCCATTACGTCTTCGGCCCCATTTCTTTCCTTGCAAACTGCACATATTGATTAATTGATACTGTGGTCTTTGGAGTTCCCAGGATATATTATGCTTTCTTTTGGCCTTTATTGGAATGCAACATTCTTTTAAACTACTCACATTCCCCTTTCCCTAGGCTACTATCTTCTGTGTAACTCAAACTCATTTCTCAGTCTTTACTTTCTATTTCTTCTGTACTAAGATGTCTTCTGTCCCTTCTTCTTCACTTACATATTTTCTTGGATGATTTTTCTGTATGATACTATGGGCTGCGTTTATTCTTTTCTAGCAATTACTGCATGTAATGTAACTGCCTTTGTACTTGCCTGTTTCCTTTACTTGTAAACTCAGAGATGGTGGAGCCTGTCTTATTTGCCATTTTTCCCCCACCACCTAAGAGTTTCTGTAACTCAGGAAATGATCGAACATTTTGTAAATAGATACGTTTCCCCTAAAAATAATTCACAACATATATAACTCCTTAAAGCAATTTGGATTCTGTATTTATAAATGTATTTCAGGTCCCACAATAATCATATCAAAATGGTGGCCATATAATTGCTCTTCTTGGCCCACCATTTATCACTATAATGGATTTATTAGAAGAGATAGACTCACTCAAGGTGCAAGCAGAGTACTTTATTCTTTCTAGTCACTTTACGTACAATTCCATTCTGAATATTAGGTTTTCTGCCCCTTGATAAAATGCTGTTTGAGTGTCATTATTTCCATCTCTTCTCTATTCTTGCTTTTCTGCTGCTTCTTGCTTTTTTCTTCTCAATTCTCTCTCTTCCATTCCTTCTTTTCTCACTCTAGCATTTTAAAATAGATTAAATTTTCAAGTAAAGAAGAAAACGTTTAATGAAGTTTAAAACTCTCCTCCAATGTAAAATGTCTTTTCTACATCAGCCTTGCTCAAAGAGGGTTTAAAAACCTGAATAAGGAAGGAAATAGGTTGGTGAGCTAGTAGGCTTTTGCATTAATTTTTTTTTTTAACGTTATCTTTTCACCCTTCTTACTGTGCTTCACCTGGGTTTTCTGGAGTTCTGGGGTTAGAATTTAGGAAGAACTAATTGGTAGCAAAGGTATGTTAGAAGTCTTAATGGATTCTTCTCTTGCTTTTCTGGATTTATTAAAGACTCCTTGTATTTGGAGATAAGAGCTATAATTCCTTGATGTGGTTGACACTTTCTTTGTCTGGTTTTAACTATCCTCCTTAGGTT